ATCATTTGAAAACCGAAATGATTTCCATCGTAGGGGCATGACCACCATGATTGCCCAATCGATCTCCATTACCATGACCTAACTTAATTACCTCTACAAAACACACGTTAGTCATAGTAATCATGTATTGTCATTAATCACCGAAACCCAACTAGGGGCCTAGATGCTTTCAAACACTAGCTTCTTCACATTTGCTGAAAACTCAGTCGGGACTTTGACCCCCCTCAGGAAAGTGCATATAGCTCTCTTCTCGTCTGGTGTTAGGTTGAAGCACGCCGTGGGCAGAGTGTATTTTCCATTAGCCTCAGGTACCGGGTGAAGCTGTGGCATCACGTTTAGCTGCACCATGTCTTTCCGTGCTTTCAGACCATCCTTTGACTTGCATGTGTCCATCAAGGTAGCAATAAGACTCTCAAAGACATTTTTCTGCACGTGAATAGCATCAATGGCATGGGGGACCTCCAAATCTGGCTAATAAGGCAGATACTGAAAGAAGATCGATTGTTTCTTGAAAGGTACACCTTCAACAGGAGGTGTGCTTCTATCTCTGTTCATCCCATCCGGATTCTTCTTTCCATAGACGACGCGTATGTTTTTCACCATTCTGTACACGTGTTCTCCGTTATGACGTCTCTTCGGAGGGGGTTCAATCTTTGGGGTGTTGTTATAAAATCTAAAGAACAATTTGCTGCGGTACTTGTGACTTGTCTTTAAGAAGCGTCGGTTCCTTAGGTAAACTATCTTCTTAGATGCATCCAGGTACACCCATGTAGTACCATCCAAGCAAACCAAGCATTCCGTCTTCCCTTTGATCTATCCAGACAAAGCAAACAGCGTGGGGTAATCATTGGTAGTAACAAATATTATTGCTCTACATATGAAGTCCTCCTTTCGAAACACATCGTACATCGGCTCCCCATGCCTCCATAGCCTCTCCATTTCTTGCATCAAAGGCTCGAGGAACACGTCTATATCAATGCCTGGTTGTTTAGGGCTAGAAATAAGAATAGTGAGGAGAAGGTACTTTCTCTTCTGACACAACCACGTTGGGATGTTGTACATGGTCAAGATCACTGGCCAAGTGTTGTGGTCGCTCATTCTCTCATTGAAGGGATTCATTCCATCAGTGCTCAAGCCAAAACGTACACTCCTTGGGTCATCGCTGAATTCTTTGTGCTTCTCATCGAACCTTTGCCACTGACTACAATCAGCCGGGTGTGCAATCTTATCATCATCCACCTTGCGCTCATCATCCCACCATGTCATAAGTGTGGCTTCTTTAGGGTTTAGGAAGATACGTCTCAAGCGGTCGGTCATTGGCAGGTACCACATTATCAAGGCAGGAATTCTTTTTTGCTTTGCATCGTTGCCTAATGGAGTGTCCTCTGGGGGCTGAGATTCTTGTACCGGGCTGAGATTCTTGTACCACTTTTTTTGTACCCTTCATATTCCTCTTTTTCCCCGTGGAGGCTTCGTCCCCACCGTAAAGGTCATTGTTCTTGTACCAGCTGGCCCCACACCGGGGACTTTTATCCAGTGACTTGAACGTTTTGCCATGAAAAAGTATACAGTAGTTGGGGCATGCATGGATTTTTTTAACCCCCATTGTCAATGGACTTATGACCTTCTTCTCTTGGTATGTGTTGGTGGGAACTGAGTTTGGTTGTGGCAGCACCCATGACAGGAGATGCAATAAATCATTGAAACTACAGTCTGACCAGCCGTACTTAGCCTTCAGGATGAGTAGCTCAAGCACAAAACATAGCAATGTCCAATGTGTCGGACAACCCTTTTCAACACCATGCACAGTCTCCTTCGATGCTTTTGTCACCCTTTCTAAATTTTCTAGACCTTTCAAGCTATTTAGTAAAATCTCTGGTCCAATGGCTCGAATCATGTCCTCCAAATCATCTTCATCCTCGACACGTGCTCCACCATCATTATTGGCACCACCTTCATCATTACCATCCCAACCATCAGCATCACCACCTTATTCATTGTCAAACTCCGAATCCATTCGTGCATCAAGCTCTGCTGAATATTGGGACAGGGATTCTAGGGTTTCATCGTCGTATTCCTCCTCATCCTCATTGTTAACAATAACCGTTTTACCATGATGAATCCACACTGTGTAGTCCTCAATAAATCCTCGCATAATCAAATGTGATCTGATGATAGTCACATCTGTCCATGACATACGGTTCTTACAATCTTACAGGGACAAATAATTGTATCCTTATTCTCTACCAATGTCGTTGCATGCTTCTTTGCGGCTTCAATAAATTTATCCACCTCTTCATGGAAACCTGCCTTGAACCTTAACGAACCATACATCCAAGAGTTCCTATAGTCCATCTTTTACAACAACAACAAAACAAACATTAAAGGACTACTTATTCAGATATATATAAAAATGAATCAAATTAATAATTACTTGAGAATAATTGTATATACTTCAGATATATATGAATATAAATCAAATATAATTACATGAAGCATACAAACACACCATGGTAGAAGAAAAATTATTAATGGCCCACTTATCCATAAATAATTAAAATACATATTTATTGATTACAATAAACAATTTTAAAGACAACAATTAGCAACAATTATATTTTACCCAATACCTTTCATGCAAACCCTAGTCCAATTTCATCAAACACAAATTTATAAAACCGAAATTAATAAAAAAAAACAAACCCTAGGTCTAGATCTACATGCACATGAAACATCCATAAAACTAACTAATTGTTCACTAAAATCAAGAAACATGGACCAAATAAGGGTATGATCTTGTTCTCCTCCCTAATTTACCCTAGTACATTCAAAACTTGAGTCTAATTTGCTTCATAAGTAGCTCAATCACCATAGAAGAGAGAGAAAAGCAAAACTCTAATTACTCACTAATCAACCATTAAAACTTCAAAAAAAAGTGTGGAATAGTATTTTCTTATCGTCTACAACCTCTCCACCAAAGGATTTAAGATCAAAACCTCCCCCCTTAGTAGAGCAATTTTTTGGAGGTGCCCAAGGCCTCCCCACTTTTCTTTCACGGGTTGGAGTGAGTGACCCGAGGAGGAAGAATGTGCTGCAGTTTGCTTTATATGTGGGTCATTTGTAGGGACAGCTGCTGATTGAGCCGCCCCTACAAATCGGAGGTATTTATACGCGGGCATTTGTAGGGGCGGCTCAATCACCAGCCGCCCCTACAAATAGAAATATCAGGGGCGGCTGGTGAGTGAGCTGCCCCTATAAATCCGACCCATTTGTAGGGGCGGCTCATATGACCAGCCGCCCCTGCTGTTCCATTTCTAGGGGCGGCTGGTCTCTGGACTCCGAGCACGCCACTGTATGAGCGGCTCTATCACCAGCCGCCCCTATAAAAAATTTGCCCCGTTGCTACAAACCGTTTTTTGCGTAGTGAAATTAGGAATAATATAGGAGTTGCTCTAAGAAGTATAAATTAGAGAAAATGTTGCACATGCACTGATGTAACACCCTTGTCTTCAATTGTTTTCAAGAATTAATTAGAGAGTAGATAAAATTTTGTGGAATGATGAGAATGTCATTCTGTAAATTAAATTCAACTGGACCTATGTTAGCCTGCCTACTACTGAACTGCAGAATCTCTTGTCAATTTTTCATACGTGATTAAATCCTTTATTATACTAGAATCTATTATGGGCATTGGAATTTATTTGATTTAAGATTGGGAAAGCCGAATTAAATTCAACAAAAGATAGCTAGCTCATTATGAGAACCACACAATAAATTGTAGGTCCCATTGCAATGCATCAGTATGTTTGCTAGTATATATAAATAGAAGTGTAGATAATAGATAATCTATAAGCTTAATTTTTTAAAATCTGACAATAAAACATGCTTGAGTACATTTTTTATTAAGAACTACTACTTCATTCCAAATTAGTATTAAGAACTAAAGTACTTAAAATTAATATGATTAATCATATTAAAATTAATTAAACTTAAAATTTATATATCCTTAAATGTATATTAAAAGTATCATTAATATAAGTTTTTAATAGTTTTATATCATCTTAAGTATAAGTTTTATAATTATCATAAATTAAACTTAATAGTTATAATTAGCCACCGAGATAACTTTAGTACAATTTAAACTTGTTATCTTAAAATAATTACCATTTGCATTGTTAATTAGTTATAAATATAAGTTCTAGATGGCACTTCGTTCTTCACAGATACAAATAATGTTGGATATTCATTTTATTTATTTTTTTGAATACAGGTCTAGAAGTGAATAGAGAAGAATCACAAAATTGGAATCAGATACGTCCGTTTAGCGTCCATATTAAAATCGAATATAAATATGAATATCCATATTTGACTCTGAAACGGATACGAATATTGGATCATTTGAATATTTAGACATCTGGATTCTTCATCCCTATTAGATATACACTAGAATAAAACAGAAACGACTTGCAATGTAGAACGAAGGGGATACTTTTTAAAACACTTATGTGTCAATAGATGCATTAGACAAGATGTGAAATTAAAGTTGGGCAAGTTGAACTGAAATGTGAAAAATATGTTATGGCCACTTTCTCGGTAGATTAAGTTCTGAGTTAACTTTATAGTGCATGCAACTTAATAATATTCTGCCTCAAAATAAAGTAACACGATTTACATACACAAAAGCATATCGTTCACCTCTTTCCCGTAAGGTAAGGAGTTAAGGTGAACTAATTTGTACATACATACAAAAACAATAATATATGTCGCATATATAACTGAGCATTTTCTCAAAAGAAATTAAAATATTTTGAGCAGGATACATCATCATGCATGGACGCATAAATTGTACGGAGTATCTAAAAAAATAGACAACAAACTGATACATGAATGCAGTCAGGAGGACCCGGAACGACCGGCATTACATCATACAACGAACTTGTCGTCTGTCTTTAGACCAGACACAAAACTAGCTATACTACAGATCGAGACACCGATCACGATCAGTAAGCGAAATAGGTGACGAAGAGCGCAGCGAACATGATCAGGTACGCGACAGCCTGATCGATCGCCTTGGCGTCGACTACCACCCGTGCCGTCGCCACGGCAGTCCCCGGCTTCTCCTGTGCTGCCATGGACAGCTGCATGAGCCCGGAGAAGAAGAAGGCCGTGAACAGCAGCACGTACGCCTTCAGGGCCGCCATCTTCTGTCGCTGTGTTAGCAAGCTAGAGTTTTTGAAGCTGCCTCTGCCTGAAAGATGTATATCGTCGCAGCTTCTAAACTGTGACCCTTGAATAGCTACTAGTGAAGAATGTACTCACTCCTAGCTAGGCTCTCTGATGCTTGTGGCGATGCAGAAGAAGAATCGGTGGCTATACGTATTTATAGTGGCAGAAGGACAGGAAAATTAAGCGTGGCGATCGAGCTGCATGCCCTGTTTGATCAGGACTTGTGAGGAGAATTTGAGCTTTGAGTCTGTCAATTCGTTTAATTGTCTGGCTCGGCAGGATTGACTGCTTGACAGTTGAAACATCTCGATCGTCATATGTGTGCTGGGGTTTTGGCATGTGCAACCATGCATCTGCGTCAGTTCAGTTCAGACCATGAGATGACTCTTTGGATGCCAAGTCACATCACATGAATGGAATCGCCCCTTATTAGCTTGTATGTAGAAACCTTCAGGGAGCGGCAGCGCTAGAAAACTGCACTGCATGACAACATTGACCGGGCCCTGCAGGCCATGCGATCTGGTTCACGGGAGTACATCCTGGTATCCTACAAATTTGAGGGCCCAAGACAATAAGGAACCATTAATGACAACACACGATTACCGCTTGTGAATGTGGGATTTTATTACGGGAAGAAGCATTTTAAAAATATTTACGGTATATATTTGGATACCGTATACAGATATATACTAGGGAATAGGATGGTTTAGGCCCTGTTTCCATACCCTCCGATTATAATAATCAAATTATATAATCAAATTTTGATGCAAACAAGATTGATTATATAATAAATTATTATAATCAAAACTCTTGGTTACCATAATCTCGTAATCCAGGTGAGACCAAGTTATAGAGAGGATTTATAGTGCTGGAAGTCCAACTTGCCCCTAATTGATTGTCCAACTTACTAAACTATAAAGGGTAAGTTAGAAATTTCTCACTTTAACCAACCATAATAAATCACCATAATTTATTGCCCAAACACTCTGATTACCAGAATCCATAGTCCTGATTATAGTAATCCTATGCATAATCCATAATATAATAGTCGGGTTGTGGTCCAAACAAACCCTTAGTTACAGGAGCCTTATCATGTGTTACAATACAACATATTTTTACTGGACGGAAGCTGAGCTGGTTGAGGTCGTGGGTGTATATGTCCAAACCATCTAGATTCAAGTTTTTGTCCAGACGAACTTTGGTGCCTATTTTCTTCTTAATAAAATACAACTTGGCTCCTCCTAATTTCATCTAATTTTTTAAATATTTGTACTCGAACAAAGGATCGTTTTGCTTCTATGCTCTTGCAAAGGTAAGATGTATTAATGAGAGAAAACGTTTGACATGCACTGATGTAACACCCTAGGCTTCAATTGTTTTCTAGAATTAATTAGAGAGTAGATAAAATTTAGTGGAATGAGAATATTATTCTGTAAATTTAATTCAACTGGACCTATGTTATTGTCAGCAGCCTGCCTACTACTGAACCTATCCCTGAGTCTGAAGGTGGAGCAGATCCTGATGTGTTGGCCCAGAGTCAAGGTAAATGAGCCAAACATCCCAACAGGCAACAGGAGCTACTTTATTTTTTCTATATCTATTCTCTTCTTTTTTGCAAATAAAATGCCAGCATAAGATTTAATCCTATGCTTCCGTTTGATATGGCGGTTTTAGTAAGAAGACATATCAAATGGCGGTAAGCACAAAGCCGCCGATCCGAGAATCGCTGTAGCACACGTAGCAATGAGTTGTCCTCCGTGTGTGCTGTGGTCTGTGGAGGAGGCTTGCGGCCAGCGGTGGCTTTTACATGCCGCTGGACGGGGTGAAATTGCGGTGCATATTTCTTTTTAAAAAAAAGAAGAAGATAGTAGTTTGTAATCACTATACTCGGCGGCACTAAGAAAAATACAGCTTAAATTGGTGTTTTTTATAACGTTGTATCAAGGTGGTTAGTGTATAGAACAAAAAAAAAAAAAATAGTTGTATTAAGGTACGGTTAGGCTAGAACATCAAGTTAGCATTAGCTAGTATGCCGGCACAGTGACATGCCAGTTAGGGGATTCTTGGTGAGAAGTCTTCCGCACCATGATTAGGGCCTCGGCCCCAGCTTCTCCACTAGGACTGGGGCTGGCTTGGCGGCGGCCCCAGCATGATCTCTAGCGGAGCCAAGGGCCGCCCTTTGCTAGACCCAGAGCTATGCCCAGCGATGGCCCTTGAATCGGAGTCTTTGAAGATAGGTTCATTAGGCTTTTCATCTTTGACGTAGTCAAGGACGATGAAGAAGAAACCCCTGTGTACAGTGGCTCTGGCCATGACCACCTTCGGCCCTGCATGCCCTTGACAAAGCCGGGAGCACCATCTTTGCTAGTGTCGGCATTGAAAGTGCATCTAGCCCCCTAGTTGTTTTGGTGGTTGAATAGAAAAACAATTAAAGGGTCAATTAGTTTGATGAGCTTTGAATAGGGTTCTTTGCAATAATCATTATCAAACTCTTGTCAAATCCCAAATGAAGAAGGCATCGTGATCAAATGTCATTGATCAGAGCACCTTCGGCCCCTGCATGCCCTTTGCCTATCAATTATTAATCTCTTCTCATTTACACAAGCAATTGCTTGCTTGCGTAAATGAGAAGAGATTAATAATTGATAGGCATTGATCAGAGCAAAGATCAAATGTTAAAGGAGACAAGAGCTAGTCGATCCTGCAAAACTAACAAAAAAAACTTGATACTACAAGCTCTCTTGCTCTTCTCCTAGGAAGATGTGATGGCATGGATGCCAAAGGAATAGGAAAAATCAATATATTCATATCCCATGTAAGAGGAAGAGGACATCTTTATCGCCAAAGCTTGCCCACTAAAGGGATGGAAGGGACTAGCTCCTTAGATCTCGAACCAATACTATGAGTAGTGACCGAATGTGGGGATCACACAAACATCCTCCGCCATGTTGTCCTCGTCGAGCAGCATGATCAAAGGCATCGTGAGAGAATGAGATGTAGCTAGATCAAGGGGGATACTTGGGTATTTGGATGTAGAGAGGGGTGGTCTAGGGCATAGATGGAGAGGGACAAGGGAGTAGGGTGGTCGTCGAGGCCAGGAGAACACTAGAGGAATGGTGGACGCTAGGACCATATGGTCCCCAGCATGGGGAGGGGTGAGTGGGAGCCCCTTCATGTGCACACATAGTGTGAATAGTTCATCTGCATCCATGTTCCGTTAGTTCTAGTTTTCTAGGAGTAATTTCGTTTCAAAAGTTTTCTAGGAGTACTAGTGTATGGATGAAGTTTTGATTGTTCTAGGAGGTTGTACTTGGTCGTCTTAGATGATGATCCTCAAGTTCACAACATTATTATTAGATATGGTTTTGCTCTACACAACTTTACAGAATATATGCACGGAACTAAAGTGAAACCTGAGAGCATTAATATTGAAGAATAAGAGCAATATTGCTTTTACTATATATTTAGACATAGTGTATATCTAGATGCATAACAAACGGTATGTATCTAGAAAAGTCAAATCTTCTTGCAGTTTGGAATGGAGAGAATAGCAAAGAACAGGGGCTTACCAACTACAACAACCGGAAGTGTTGCTCTTTGGTTTCCAAACTCCCAAGAGTGGTTTATCTCTATGTCCAGGGAAAAACAGTAGCTTATCTCCTCTTTTTATGAAAAGGTTGTGCATTGAGTGAAAAGTATATGTGTACTGATAAATGGTATATGTTCACAAACACGTTATACTTCTTTGACAAAGTTTCTTGCGGCATTAGGACAGTCTAACCAAAAACTATGAGTTGGTTTACATACTTGTCAAGTTATATATTTAGACATTAAGAAATCATGTTCTCAAAAATCATGCTAGTTTCTAGGTTGAGTGCTCTTATGAACCTCTAATTATAGATGAACACCTCCTGCACCTTTAGGCCTTCGTTCGGTTACCTCCTCGAATTGATTCCAGGCCGAATAATTTCTTCACTAATTTATACTAGCCAGGAAAGAATCCAGGCACGGAACGGCCCAATCTGAAACAACCGAACGGGGCCTTAATCCACCATGAATCCCCTCGTAACTCCTACTAGCACAATAAAAAAAGGGAAGGGTGTTACCGTTTAGTCCACCATGAATCCCCTCGTAACTCCTACTAGCACAATAAAAAAGGAAGGGCATTACCGTTCGCGACCCTTGTTTAGTTCAGTTTCCATCTCTCTCATTGTACGTTTTACTAACACGCTAGGCTCTGCTTTTGAGGGAGGGAGAGACAGTCAGTGAGGTGTGGAAATGGAAGACAACAGGAAAAGAACCAGGCTGCGCAAATCCTTGCAACTCTACCTCTCCAGGACGCTCAAGAAGATCCCTCCAATCCACATCCCCAGCTCAGCCATTCCAGCTAACATCACCAGCGCGCGCCTCCTCTCCACCTGCAGGTTCCCAAGAACCCTGTCGCTGGATTTGGACGCCGATCACACTGCCGCCGCCAGTGCGGACAACAACAGCAAGGACCAAGCGGCGACGCTTTCCGACGTCGACCGCTTCCTCTTCGACAACTTCCGGTCCCTCTACATACATGACAACAACGATCCATCATTATCGGTAGGCACATCGACATCAGTCGTCAATGGGACACCACCAACATCGGAGACGTCATCTTCCTCAGAATCGGCCTCAAAAGACATCAAGGAAGCTAGGCCAGGTGAGGAGGGTGGCGACAGCGCGACCATAGTGGTCTTCACCATGGATCCTTACACAGACTTCCGGAGATCCATGCAGAACATGATAAAGTTGCACCATGGCTGCGTATGTCAGCCATTGGATTGGGACTTCCTGGAGGAGCTGCTCTTTTTCTACCTGCAGCTGAATGACAAGGCTATGCACAAGCACATTCTCAAAGCCTTTGCTGACCTGACTGCCGGAACTCACATGGCCAGTTGAACCCCTGGAAATGCCCAGTGGGCTGACAAGAGCCTTAGAAGTCGAAAAAATCACTAGGATGAACAACTGTTACTTCATAAATTGACAGCTCAAAGCAAAGAAAGATTTGCGGTACCAGGCTATGTAACCTGATCACCTGACAAACATAGCAGCATGCAAATAGAGCTGCACATAAAAGCTTAAACACATCATTTATGCTGAAACCGACATGTTGTAGGTTGGCAGTTCGGAATATTTATTTAAATTAACTTCCACCCGAACCAAATATCCAGAGCTTAGAGCTTAGGATAGGCTCCATTTTTCCATAGTACAACTAAAAGTTACTCCCTCCATTCCAAATTGTAAATCATTCTTGGTTCTCTAGGTACATAGCTTTTACCATATCTAGATGCATAGCAAAAGTTACCTAGAAAAGTCAAAACGGACTAATAATTTTGAAAAGGATAGAGTACTATTTTCATTCTATTAGTTTATTGACACTACCCACAACTAAGAGACTGATTGTGGTAAACTATAGGTTAGTACACCAAACTATCAGGTTAATCAGTCACATAGACAACTACGGTGTCCCAAATTTTAAAACTCTACATTTATCTTTGATGTCTCCCATGGTTCTACTTAATGGCATCCATTCAGAGTGTTTTGTGCTTCGTCTTCAAGAGTACACAGATCCGAAACAACAAGCAGCATCCTGCATTTCACCATTCAAGTTTCAGAACTTCATCTGCAAGCGCAAAAGGCAACCAGACACTCAGGAAACCCTTGTCATACTATAGAAAATAATAATCAATAATCAATATAGAGGCAGATAAAATTTTATACTATGTACTATGTATTGTTTGAGCAACATGGAGATAAAAAAAGAGGAACCTAGTTAGTTAACCCTCCTAACAATTTTACAGCATACCCCCAGAATACTTTAGTTCATGATCTAATTAATCATCATTAGGGGGGTGCTCATGATATTGTATTGTGCTGTCTAACAAGAAAGTATCTAAGTGTCATTTCTTGAGTGACATATCAAACGGTGTACTTCTATTACCTAGAAAGCATAATTCCAATTATAAAGAGAAGATAATACAGCCACAAATTAGTAACATCTAGACAAATAAAGCACTGCTTCTGGAAATTCATCATCTATATTCAGTAAGCTAAACCCAGCCATTCTGAAGTTTGATAATTTGATCATATGAAAAAAAATCCATAGAAAGCCTGCGGTTATCAGCAATAAAAAACAGAGAAAAATAGGATCCTTTTTGTCAAAGGAACTTGATAGACCTTTATTTTTCAGGAAAAACAGGGGAAAAGTTAAACTTCATGCTGGCATAAACATGAAGGATTGCTAAACAGTGTGGAGCACTGGTCAGGCCCAATGGCAACTAGAGATTAACAGTGTAACTAGAAACAATATAGTTTACTATGTTTGAAATGATCAATGGATACTCTACTTATATGCTTAACAAGCTTAAATGGAGTTTTGTCATGTCCATTTCTTTTCCTCAGATTCCAGAAGTGCCATATGACATTCCAAAAGTAAATGCATGCACCTCAAGAATCTGATAATGTCCTGTTGACAAACAGTTAGGTGTTGATAACAACCAGCACTGTAGTTATCACTTAATGAAAACATGACACAGAAACATAAAGTGAATATGCCTGCAAACATGGCAGAAGTGGTTGTCATGTACTACAAACACTATATCTTCGAACAAGCTGCTCATAGAATGAAAGATGATTCTTTGGAACAAAAACCCTGAACCTGTAAAGCAAACGAGAATGACAATTAAGCATAAACAAAGGTGTAATAACACAAGGGAACAAACAGCAAAGGAAAAGCCAAAAAAATACACCAAATTGCCAACAAGAGTAATGTTACCCTTCAAGAAGTGGAAGTTTTCCTGGGGACGAAAAAAGCTTTGTTATTGCTTCAAGTGAGTCCTTGATATGCATAGTTTTCGATTTTAAGGCCTTCATATATTCAACAAACTCTTTGTACTCTGCGCTACTAAGCTTTTCTTGAGCCTAGCAAACATTGAAGGAATACAATTATCTCATGCAAATGCTGAAAAGATTTACATATTAACAAATTGCACTGATTCTGCAAAGCACGAAATGGGATCAAACTACAGTGAAATAACAGCATACCAGCTTCAAGAACGCTAGCCCTGAGTTAGATTCCTGGCCTTCAGATTTTTCACAGGTTGCCTCATTCTTTCCGTATGCTGTTATTGTAGTGCTTTTCTTTGGTTCAGGTGTAGATCCTTCATATTGGTATCTGGCCAAAGCTCTTGACCCTATATTTTGAGGCAATTTTGAAGAGACGTCATCTGAGCCAACAGCATCTTTGGATCTGTCTGTTGTTTTAGCTTTCTTAAGCCCTAAAGACTTGAAGGTATGTTCCTTCAGATGCCCTTGTATTGGCAAGTCATCAGTCATATCAGCAACCTTGGTATCCTGTGACAGTTGGTCTTCTGAGAAGTTGTGCTTCGTAGATGTAGATGTAAAGTTGTGCTTTGTAGTAAGGGTTGAACGATTAGCAGGAGTGATCTGAGCCAACTTCATGAAGTTACTTCTTCTCATGGTTGAATTTCCTGATAATGTGATTTGAGGGCATTCATCTTGTGCACTGGCAGCCTAGCAGAAGGAAGGCAGCATCTGTAAGCTCCAGAGGCATTAAACTTAAATCTTGATCAGCTATGTCAATGCAAAGGATGTACCAAATCTGATAACTTCTCTTTAGGCATGTGTTCACTTGCTACTGGTGCTATACAATCTGCATGTAACAACATTATGCAATGAGTTGTAAATAAATAACAATTACTAAGAGAAATAAAAGAAGCAGCACACAAGTGTAGTAATTAAAATGCCAAAAGTTTGTATTGCATTCCCTCAACGAAATTAGACAAACATTCAGTAGAAGAGAGCTGGTATTATGCTGCTTGACCTTGACTATCCTATTCTATAAATAGAAATAAAACCAGGCTGTATAGCAACCCTTTCAGTGGTCATAAATATAAGAAACCGAAAGATGTATCAGTCATGAGTTAAATATGTACTAAGAGTAAATTACACTGGCGGTCCTCAAGGTTTGGGGACCTAGATATGCAATTTCATAGTTTGGGGACCTAGATGAGAATAGCCTAATAGTTTGAGGACCGCCAGTGTAATTTACTCTATGTACTAATGTGCTAGTATTCTTTCTTAGTTTCTTCTAATTTTAATAGTCACAGCTCGAATCATAATTTCAAAGCTACAAATGAGTTTGAATGTAGTTCAAAATATATTCAAATTTGCACAATTCCTTTTCCATAATGAGCACATCATGAAGAACTGCAAATGGCATTTTACAATTATAATAATACACGAGCAGATTTTCCACAGCTTGGTGGTGTAAGCCCATAGGGTCGTCAATTTGGTGGCACAAGGCATCAACTATTCCCTTATCCCCAGGGGCTGATTTCAGATAGGTTCTTATAATCTTATGACACTCCTAAGCTGGCAATCTAAAACAGGAGGCAGACTCATCAGGTTCACTGGTCAATTTAAATGATTAAATTAGTGACCATATGGACTGAAAAACCGATAATAATGGCCATAAATCAGCTCTCTATCCCCCGATATAGACATCCTTTGTCAATTTCTGTCTAATGCAATTTGCACCAGCCCTGTATTGCTAGAACTATAGTTGATTTTGCTGATTCAGTCCCATTCTGTTCAAGTTTGTACAATCAAACATTTATATTACACTTTCATTACTTGAATCCTAAACTACCTACAAACATCTAAATGGGTCCTTATGAACATATGACCAGTGAATTAATGACACTCCTGCTAATTTGGAGACGTGGAACAATACCGTAGGTTTGACAGGGTAACTTGCTAGATAACCTTAATGATATATTTCTGAGGAAAATTTTACATCAACTAACATCAACATGTCAGCTAACAAAAAAGCTGTGAAAAAAACCATGTTCACAGCAGAACATGTATCATTAACAAGTACACTGGATTGTTCGAGAGAAACAAAGTACACCGGATTAAGTTTCAAATTTAAATAAATATGTGTGAACTTGCATATAAATAGATAGAAAAAACATATAAAAGAAGTTTATCACAGTATTCAAAACTAGACTTACTATTACAATCTGTTGGCTCTAGCGACAAAGGATCTGAAGAAGCTTTATCTCGAAAAAACCGGGTCAATCCTTGGACTACTTCCCCATACTTTGAGTAGCACTGCAGAAGGAATATAAGCACAGGAAAGAGCACTGTAGGAAGACAGTAAACAAAAGTACCTTTATATAAGGTCGGAGCCAATATGACATCTGAGATTGATAATTTGGCCACGCAAACCTATAACCAACATACAATGAGAAGTAGCTCTGTTAATAAATGCGACCAATTCTGGAGAAGTTTGACCGAAACAAGCAACATGGTTCAAAATGCAAAACCATGTACAGCCTCAAGATCCTTAAAATTGCATATATTAGTTTACTTTGACCTAAGCTCACAAAATGCAAAGATTATTTTGAGATTTGCAAAGCGCTGATCCCATTGTTTCAAAAAAAAAACGCTGATCCTCCATTTCTGGTTTAACTCTAAGGATTACAATATGGACTTATGGAGCCCAAAATGGCAGTATACCGATTACAGCATACATGAATAACAGAATAAACGAATATAGTGAAGTGGTTTTAATATGATTTCTTCAGAGTGCTCTATGCATCTACTATCATATAAAAATATTCAAGACATTAATGATTGGACAAAACCAAGAAATCATGTGTGTAATTATAGAATATCCCCCCTTTAATAAGATTAAATAATGCCATTGAATTAGGTATAACTGTATGTATGATAGTGTCTTATACCATGGAAGATCAAGAAATAATTGACAGTCCAGCACAATAAAGAATATATTTCCACGGGAAATTCAGCACAAAAGCAACAATGCTTAGATTTGTTACTTAGGGGACAATGATTAGGTTTAGACCTTTCATCACAATAAATAATAGCTCCATAGTCATGGCGATGTCTGATAACACGTCCAACAGCCTGATTGACAGCTCTTGCTGCTTGTTGCACATACCATTCTTCTCCTGTCAATGTCTACAAAACAATCACAAAACCTTTTTGTAAAATTGATCAGCACAGGTTTGCTTAACAATTTACAATGAAATTGTTGAACCTTTGTGTTTTTATTAGATGGTGTCCCCTGCTTATCCAAATACTCACGCTTGAGCCGAACCTGGAATGAACACACAGGAAAATTGACGATTAACTAAAGGAAAAGACCAATTACTCTTGCCCAAAGTCCAAGAGCTAGTAGTTTGTGCAATATGGTAATTAAATCATGCAGGTCAAAAAGCAAGGAAGAAAAGAAAATCAATAGTCTTCAGAGAAACTAATGAATGATGGCAAAATACTTCCAGACTTAAAAAAGCTGCAGCAGAATTCAACTCATCCAAAGTGACAATTAAAAATGTGTGTGAATATCCACGTATGAACCTGGCTCAACATAACAAGCCAGCAAAACTCAATATATTTGGTACAAAATTGTCAGTTCCAAAGCAACTTTAGTAATAAAGCTTTAGGAAGACACTACACATCATACAGATAGAAACAAACCTTGGCATCAGTTGGAGTAGCAAAGGGCATTCCCGTAACTATCACTGCCCTCCCAGCACGATCAGCAAAATCAAGACCCTCACTAACCTGCACAAGTACAAAAATGAATAAATGAATAAATGAGGGAGCAAAGCTCAAAGATTAGTGAAAAAGCAACATTTTGGAAATGGTACTGCCAACTTATTAGTACATGTCCTTCTAATGACCAATTGGTTTTTTCACTTAATTTTTAACCATAGAGACGCCCTCATGCTTCATAATTTGGCACTAGAACCATCCACTTTATAGACTTCCTGTTCCGTAAGTACCCTGCTTGGCCCCTGGCATCAATCTTTTCTTGCGCAGCCAATGGTTACTTCTATAGCGCAATGAAATGTATGTTTACAGCAGAAACAAGCCATTCATGTTCATGATCTTGTACGCCTGGTTTTCGCAGAGCATTCATGAAACTGCTTTATAAACGTACAATGTTTATATTAACATTACAGCACTCATACAGCTACTACGGCCCTGTTTGGAGGTGCTTTTTTTATGAGCTTATATTTGATAAGTCAGCTTTTAAGATGAACTAGCTTTTGTAAAAGGAGAATCTTCCCATTTCGAATTCACTTGCATCTTCCCATCTCCACCCCTTCCGATGTCCCTACCCCCAATCTTGCATCCATGAATCCTGTGAATACTCACCCTCTCCCTGAAGTCCAAGCCCAAGGCCTACTCCACCAGGGCTGTCTTCCAGGTGAGCTTCGTGGGGAAACCGGTGCTCCTGCGCCGCCCCACACATCGCCGATTGGTTGGTGCTGCACCACAGTCCGAGGTCGTCGAGCTGCCGAGACCAATGTACCCAGTTCGAGCTCGTCTCACAGCCAGAAACCGACACGCGTGATCCGAGCTCATCACATGTCTGTCCGAGAATAGTTGTGCCGCTGAGACCGGCGAGGAGCAGCGCCATCGCATCTGACACATCAGGGCTTGCACAAGGGCAGGAGCTGCGTCGAAGAGTGAGCTAGGCAAAGGAGGGGCGCGCACGTACGGGCGGTGGGAGAAGAAGCCGGGAAAAGCACCTCAGCCCTGGCTTCTCGCTTCTCAGCCCGTTCATAGAAGCGATTGGGAAAGAAGCAAGCTGAGCATTTGGCAGCTGCATCAGCTTTTTTCTGATGGGAAGCTGGGAGAAAAGCCATTCCAAACAGGGCCCATATGCCATTAAGCATGTTTTATCTTTCAGCACAAAAAAAGAGTAAACATAATGGTTAATAAGTTGATTAGCATGTTACAGACCTGGCAAAAGAAGCATTTAACTCAAGATCATTGAGAATGGAAAACTAAAATAAAAAAAGTGATAATAAGATAGCAAAGGTTACAAAGAACAGGAACAAACCTTGCCACGACACACTGCAAAAAATATTGCCCCAGAAGAAGAATCATGTAATTTGGCTCTATAATTCTGCAAATCAAATGGTTCATAATTATATGAGCATATGAAGTGTTATCATTCAAGCAACATCTAATAAAATATTTCAAACCTCAATTGCACTTTGAAAGTTTGATGACTGCCTAGGCTCTATAACTGGCTGCTTGTGCTTACAGATCCGCTGCCAAATTGTGTTCTCAGACGCTGAATTTGAATGGTTCTGTAAGAGATTAAGTTATGAATTTCTAAGTATATAAGCACCTCAAGTGATAAGAACTACTAGTCAGAAACAACGAATACCCTATTTTTCCAGAATTCAACACACATGTCCATCATAGAATATGAAGGAAAGAAAACAAGGAGTCCATCTGGCACAATGCGTGCGAAGTTTACTGTAAAATAAGCACATATGTCAGCAGAAATGTATCAGAACAAAAGCAGTTGCATATATTGTTACTATTGGCCTACCTATTGCAGTGCCCAGTTCTTGTTTATATTGTATAGTATTACGCGTGCGATAAGAAGAATTAAGAGCATGTCCAGAAGGGCCAACAGGCACAACTCCAACCCAGATTTGGTCTGAGGAAATGACATGCGGATTTTCCAGTCTAACTGGGAATTCACTGGATTCATGGGAAAAAAAACATTATCTTGACAATCAACATCAAACAGAGAAGCCAATATCAAAAAGCAACCAATAAAGCTACAATTCAATGACTAAGTAAACGGAATCAACGTAGATTTACTTACAGGTTTAGTTCCATGGCTAGCGAATCCAAGGGAGACAAGGTGCCTGAGGTTAATATAATGGAGCGCACACCCAACTTGAGAAATTCTTCCATCGCCAGCCCCGGGTTGAAACACCACCAACTAAGGGTCCTTGAAGACTTACCTGAGAATGCAAGAAAACTGTAGATAATTAATAAAGATATAGTTATTCAGTAGCTGGGAATGAACTAAATGAAGCGTGGATTGGAATAATATAAATCTTTTATGTTTCAATTATTTTTATTTGACGGCACCATACCTGAAGGGAGTTGGTATAACTATTCTAAGCATGTAGGTAGAATGAACTGTACCAAGTGTCACATGTGTTTTTTCCTTTAAATAATCAACAATATCTGAAAGTAATCAGTGGAGTAATACTATCCATGCAGTTTATAGTACTCATGACTGTATCAGGGATTACAGACTTTCTCCTTCATATAAAGAACATATATAGTCAGGGATCAACTTTGAACTTACCCAGAACTTTCAATGCATCTCCAGATGTTTGTTGAGATTCGTTCACATGAAACTGAAAACATCGAGTGTGGTTGTAAGAGTACAGTAAAGTATGCAAGCTTATGCTGCAAATATGTAAAGAGGGTTGGATGGCAGTAATAAGAGGGAAGTCAGAATTATGAGGCATGGAAATAGCTATAATGGATAAACACCCAATGAAAGCGAACAGGGAAATGCAATTAGAGAGATACTTGAACACCCAATGAAAATGAACTGAGAAATGTAAATGATGAGAAACTTACTCGATAATATTTTGCATGGTTTTGACCACCACCCCTAAAAATTATGTCTAACATGTCCCTAATTGACTCCAATCTAGATACTGCGGCCTTTGCCTGGACCCCTGGCCCAGTTTCAGCAGAATTTCCTAAATATGCAGGAACAGAATAAAAGTTAAAACAGAATAGTATGGCTGCATTTCAACAGTTTGGAGCAGAAAATTCAGGAACATGGAAGCACTTGACACGGCATATATCACTCTTCTGTCTAAGAAGGATGGGGCAAGTCATGTCAAGGACTTTAAGCCTATAAGCCTTGTTCATAGTTTTGCTAAAGTGATCACCAAAGTCCTTGCTAATCGTTTGGCAACTTGGCTTGATCTTATGGTGTCTAAGAATCAAAGTGCCTTCATTAAGAAAGGCTTCCTTCAGGATAACTTCATACTTGTCCAACAAATGGCAAAGTTTCTTCATCAACAAAAACAGCCCCACCTTCTCCTCAAGTTAGACATCACAAAGGCGTTCGATTCAGTGTCTTGGCCCTTCCTCCTTGAAGTGTTGAGAAAGCTCAGTTTGGGGGTTATTTGGTGTGATATTATCAGTGGCCTTTTAGCATCATCTTCAACATAGGTGCTACTGAATGGGATCCTGTTGAGGTTATCTTACACCTGCGAGGATTGCGGCAAGGTGATCCATTATCACCTATGCTACTTATTCTTGTGATGGACATCCTTGGGCATATGGTGACTTTGGTCTTTGGCTTCCAGTGAGGGGAGCCTACAACCCCTTGCTACACGTGTCTTACCTCATAGGATTTCATAGTTGTTTTAACCAAACAGCTTACAGTTTTCCCACAGCACATAGCTCACAGCAGATCTTTCACAGCTGACAGCAGCTTTTGCACAGCTCACAAAATCGAGCCTAATAGACCATGGTTGGCATTTCCTATCCAAGTTCATAACTCAGTCAGGAACTTCTTTTCCATAGCAATATTTGCAGAAGTTGGAGATGGCGCTACTACACTTTTTTGGACAGATAGATGGATACATGGGCAGCAAGTTGCTAATCTTGCTCTGCAAGTTTTTGCACTTTTGAGAAGAAGCGCAAAGCCTCTAGGGCCTTTGTAAGCTCAACCACCACCACCACCACCACCACCACCACCAAAGTTATTTTTTCTGTATCCACCCCTGGGGCAAGCAAGAGGACTGTGAGGGAGGCCCTCACCAGTCATGGCTGGACTTCTGATATCCAGGGAGCTAATAGGTGTTACTGCTGAATTTCTGAAATTGTGGGATATTCTTGCGGAGGTTGTCTTGCAGCCCGGTGTGGAGGATTTCCCATGTATGCCGCCTTTCAGCCTTTGAACAGTACTCAGCTAAATCAGCTTACATGGGCTTCTTACTTGTCTCTATCAATTTCAGTTCATGGGAACAGATTTGGAAAGCATGGGCACCCGGGAATTGTCACTTCTTCATGTGGTTGCTTGCCATAATAGATGCTGGACCGCGGATCGGTTGGCACGCCATGGTCCCCCGCATCCTGCCTGCTACCCCCTTTGTGACCAGGAGGAGACAATTAATCACCTGCTCATCTCTTGCACCTTTGCTCGACAATTCTGGTTTCATCTTTTGCACAAAGTTGGGCCGAACAATCTTTCTCCACAACAAGATGAAATCTCCTTTGATGACTGGTGGCTAATGTGGAGTTGGGAGTGGCTCACATGGCTAGGAAAGGGCTGAATTCGATAATAATTCTTGGACATGGATGATTTTGAATAATCACAACCGATGTATGATGGCATGTCTCCCAACTTGGATGGAGCCTTGTTGCTCACTTTTGCAGGGATGTGGTACTGGAGTTTGGTGGGGGCTCGAGGCTTATCTTTCCTTCTTTCCCTGCAGCTGGCGGCTGGTAACCAATAGGTGTTCTAGTTTCTAGTTTGATCAAGGCCTTGTTTGTTGTACGAAAAGGGTGTGTATGTTTTCTTAAAAACAAAGGGTTTGTGGGTGTGTGTTTTTCCATCTTAATACAAAGATACGCAATTCTCCTGCATGCTCAAGGAAGAAAAAGAACAATAGTTACTGAACTACTTTGCACTAACCATCCAAATATTTAGTAAAAAGTTAATGTGTTCAACACAATCGAGCTGCAAAAGATGGACAACTCTGATCTTACTAATTATCAAGAATATTAGTGTATTGCAATGAAAAAATAATAATAGAAAAATCAGTTACCTTCCTCTAGTAGCAGAGAAGCACCATCAATTGTCTCAATCAGTTTTTTGGATGTGTCTGACGTAATGTTCAGTTCAGAGAGAAAATCATATATGTAACTCCCAGCTTTTGTGTACCCCAACTCCTTGGATGCAATTAACAGCTCACCAATTTTTTTCTCAAGTGCCATTAAGAGAGCTGGAAAGAATGTTCCGACATTACCACAAGGAGATCACTCTCAAAATCATCAAAGTTAAGTTGCAAGCTTTCCACATATGAACGAAAGAGGCATATAGAAGTATAGGACAATATGGATCTGAATGCAACTTTGAGAAGTTGAAAGAATTTTATTTCACCTTTGAGGATTGCATAATTTTCAGGATCAAATTGTTTATCAGCAGATTTTTCAATGGACCTCTTTGCTGCACACAGTTTGATGCATTCATGAGCTTCCGCTATGCAAGCTGTGAGGTTATTCGGAAATAAATCAAAAGAGGCTGCATCTGCACATATACTCTCCTGCATAAAAGAGTTATGGTAAATTTAAGTCTAAAAAATGGTATAACTTCTTTTACATCTGGAATGCTCAACTTAAGGCTATATAGTATTGAGAGTTCAAGTACTAAACCAAGCAGAAGAAGCTCCTTACCAAGTTGTGTGCTTCGTCAAATATAAGTACTGCATTGTCCCATGGTATGCCATTTAAGGAACGACGGTTTCCCGGGTCAATAAGATAGTTGTAAGGAGCAAACAAGATATCAACCGACTTTGAAAGTTCCCGGGAGATGTAATATGGGCACCTGAAGTGATAAAGAAAAGGATGCCATTTGTGGGTCAAAAAATCTATAGTCATGCTTGTTATTTCTCTAAAAATGCAAATTAGGGAGAAAATTTTTGAAACTTACGGGCCCTTACGCCTCCCAATATTAATCAAATCTTCTATGTCAAAAGGCTCATTCCCGAGCTCAGGTTTGTTTTTCATGAACTCTGCAGGAAAATGTCATTCATGCTCAATATATGTGTTATTGATGATAGAAATTTATTTGGAATATAAAGAAAAACTAAGCTGCAAAAGGTGGACCAGGGAAGTAAGTTGGATAAAACAGAAGTATTCAACCAGTATTGAACCAATATTGTTTTAAGGCATTAAGGAAGGCCCTCCACTTGAAGAGACATTTGCAAGAATAAAATAAATAAATAATAAATCATGGCATTCAGAGAGACAAAGCCTTGTATCAACCAAAGCATCTCTCAGGTTAAGGCAAGAATTTGTGTATGCATTTTCCTTTTAGGTTGCTGTTTATTTTTGTCTGCAGAGCCAATTTTAAGGCTTATATCAAACAAAAAAAAAAGAATTTTGTTGCAATTACCAGCAACATGGTTATTATGAGGGCACCGTCGTTTCTTGCAGAGGAAGTGGCAGGCATTGTTCTGTGCTCTTCCGCGGAGTTTGCTCACTTCATCGTGGATGCACATCTGCTCACGGGAACCTAGCACTGCCATCTTCGGCCTGTGAAACGCCATATGAACCATCAGAGGCTTTGGGATGAGTCAATCTACAACTTCAGCTACTGAAGACATATCCAGCCCTCGGCACCATCACATTCATGAGAAGTTACTTAACAGCACACAGTTCAACACAATTTAGCTCTCAAATAAGAACAAGGTACTGAAGTACAAGTTCGGTTACTGACCTGTAGCTGGTGGCCTTAAGCTCCTTGATAACCTGCCGAAGCTGGCTGTGGGTCCGTGAGGCGTAGATGATGACTGGGTACCGCGACTGCTGCTGCTGAGACGTGGAATCCTCTGACTGTTGGCTAACGGACGGCTGGCTCCCGTAGGGCAACTGCTGAGTCCCGCCGCCGCCGCCGCCACGCCCGACCCGCAGGAACTCGCCGAAGGTGCGGCGCCACGCGAGCGACGCACACAGCAGGCACAGTGTCTTCCCCGTCCCCGTAGGACTCTCCAGCAGCGCGTTCTTCCCCTGTCCATCGATCCGACGAGGCAACGCAAACGCGAAGCAGTCAAAACCGAGCAAAACTTTGGGCGCGCAAACGGCGCAGGGAGGGTAGGGTTTAGCACGCGGGGTTAGAGGAGCGGGGAAGGGGGGACTCTCGTCACCTGTTGCAGGGACTCGATGACGCGGTCCATGTAGGTGATCTGGCAGTCGTAGGCGTCGAAGGGGAAGTCGACGCTGACGCCGCGGATGCTGTAGACCGGCATTTTGCCGGCGGAGGCGGAAGAGGCGGCGGTGGGATTGGGGATGGAGCAAAGCTTGCGGCGGAAGGAGACCGGCGGACCGCGAGACGGCGCCGGCGCGGCGAATATAAAGGAGGGGCTTCTTTTCTGATTTTTCCTGGGCGTGGCTTGTCGGCGTTGTTGCTGAACCACACTTGGGCCGTATCGCACGTACAGGCGTTGTGGTTGTCTGGGCCATGGTTGTGCTGGCCGAAATTTTTTTTTTTTTGCCCTTTTTTTTTGAAAGTTTTTCATAAATATGCCCATAAGGTATGCTTTTAAAATCTGGACTCTTATCTTGACGTCATCGTTGGTGGCGCCGAGCTTACACGTCTCGGCTCCAAAGGGTTTGGCGCCTAGGTCGGGGAGCCACGTCGGCATCAAACTAGAGCCAGGAGTGACATGGCAGCCAGATCGACGCCGTGAATCTTAGCGTCAAGCTTGGCGCCGTAGATCTTGACGTCGAGTTTAGCGCCATAGATCCTGACGCCGAGCCGACCTTACAAGTGGGTCATTTTCCTTTCTCTCTTCCTTCCTTTCCTTTTCCTCTCTTCCTTTCTTCTCTCTTGCCCGACGCCTCCCGCCGCCGGCTGCCGCTCCCGCCGCACCTCTCGTGCGTCCTAGTTGGGGACCTCTCCATGCCGACGAGGCGGAGATGGCTGGGGAGTCGCCGGCCTAGGCCATAGGCGGCGCGTGGAGGTCACAGCACCAGCGGCCAAGGTCGACGCGTGGACGTCGTGGCCCCGACGGCCGAGGGCGGCGTGCGAAGGTCATGGTCCCCACGGCCAATGGTGGCGCGCGGAGGTCGCAGCCCAGCGAGGAGGCATCGTCGTCTTTGCAGATCCGTCTCTGCTGAGCCCCTCGCATGCAGTGAAAGTCATCTCTCTATCTTCCTCCGTTGTGTCTTTTTTTTCTCCACTTCTGTATGCAGTAGAGTCACTTGCAACTTGTGACGAGTTAAATAAACTAGGTGCCCAATTGCTCCTTGCAGATCTAGAGGCATGAGGGGTGTCATGTGTTCTCTTAGTTTCTTCATTAGGAGTACCAACGGCAGCGGCATACATGTGTTCTCTTAGTTTCTACAATGTTATTTCTGGAATTGAGGTGTCATACATCTTCAGTTATTTCTGGTAAGTGACCACCTTCACTTAGATGAATAAGCTTGGTGGATTAATTTTATTAACGTTGATTTGGTGCTCAAACTGTAAATTTCAGATAATTGATAGTATGTTCAGTAAAAACTAGGTGCTGAACTGGTTGGGATGCAATGTGCTCTGACATTTCTTTTAGGATCTTATTTGATCTTGTTGTTGTTTTCGTTGGATTAATTGCCATGTAGGATCTTATTTTGTACTGAAAATTCATGATCTCACTGCACATATAGATGATGCATGATGGTATTTTACATATATATATGCAGGCATTATTTACCATTAGTTAACAGCGGGAATTTTCGATTCAATTATATGTGCAGCATTTTACCTTTAGACCCAAACTGTTTCTAGCAAAATTCTCTTTGTTTCTGTGGTTCTCCAGAATGTATGTTTCTTACTCTTTACCAACTTCCGCACAATGCTTCTTTACGAGAGAAAAAACTTCTCAATCTTTCGGACTTAAGTATTTTTGTAGATAATATTGTAGTTGCAGTTGAACACAAGTATCCAAGTCTAAGAACCAAGAATCCAGTCCAACTAGCAGAGTATCTAATAATTATCTAGAATTGCAATTGCAATGTTTTTTAATCAATCCGTTTCAAGTTATCTATGTTTGTATTTAATTTTTCCTAATACATACTTTTCATTTGGTGTTTTATTGTTTATGTCATGCTTTTTTGTGACAAGTTATCTGTGTTGGTAGGTGCTTCTTTCATGCTCCCAGGAATTCTTCATTTTTAATTGTCTATATACTGCTCCTGATAGAGATTGGACTGTAAGCATATTTTTGAGATAGATTGGACTGTAAGCTATGAAGTACCTGATTACTGGACAGTGGAATTACTTGTCTCCATTTATTGGTGCAATAATTGATATTTTTCCTAGAACAAATGGTATTGTTCACCGAGCATATTTAGTTGGTTCTGAACTTTTGATCTAGTTCTCCTGTCCATCTTATCATGTGTCATTGCAGGGGACCGCTATACAAGGTGAAGGTGAGGCTTGCAGGCTGTTGTGTGTAGTGTACACCCCTGTGAGTCTGTGCCGCTGATCCATCTTTGCAAACTTGGGAGGCTAAAGAAGGAAGCTCGACCATTTGCTGAACATATGGTGTTTCATAACACTGGAGTTAGTAATACCCCTACCACTTTGGAAACTATTAGTGACTTGTGTTTTATAATGTATGGATTTCATATAAGAATGAATGATAAATTCATTTGTAATATTCTTATGGATATGTTAATGCCAATTGCTACGGCGCCGAACTATGAAAATTGACAAATTTTAATTTTTACCATGACTTGGATATTAATTAATGTGGCTAACACTAGAGTTTTTATAGTGACTTTTTATTTGATCATTTAAAACAATCTAGAAATACTTAAGATAAAAATTTTGCCTGACCAAATGGAACTACAGCATGTCCGGGCGACACAGTATAGAGCTCGGCTCCTACAGTACGGCGGGGCGATGCAGGGCTCGGCTCTATGCGTCTATTGCATTGCTAACCAGAGATGCATCGGTGCATGCAACGAACCGTACGTGCATGTGTAGGCATGCAAGCACGGACGCAACACACATCACCTGTAAGCACGTGGAAATATGGCTAAGTTTAGAATTTATGACCCGTGGTTAAGTCTGATTTTTTACCATGGCTAAGTCCAAATTTGACGAGACTTATTTTGTTGTTATCTTCTCAGAGAGTATTCAAACTCGTAGTACGGTATTAAATTGAGTTGCTATATAAATTTGGAAGATAAAAGGTCGTAAACATGTCAATTCACTACCGGTGATAAGGGAATTAGAAAGATTTAGAGGGGCCAAAACAGAGTCACAATTCGGCCATGTTAAAGACTGATTTAGGTTTAGGTCTAAAAACAAAGTTTATTGTACTCAACTCAAACTACTTCTATTAAAGGTCAAACTTCATATCTAGAAAAGAAACTATAGTTTTACCCCTGGTCAAAACAGTATCATGAAAAAAGGAGTTAACTATTGATCCAACACTTAGAAGCATTTTTAGGCTAGTTCATGAACATAAACCTTAGATCATTTTTTTCTTAAGTATTTCTAGACTGTTTTAAGTGATCAAACAACAAGTCACCGTAAAAAATCTAGAGTTAGCCACATTTCTCAATATCCAAGTCATGATAAAAATTAAAATTTGTCAATTTTGATAGCTCGGCGCCGTAGTAATTGGCGCTGACTTCGGCGCCAAGATCTACGACGCTGACTTCGGCGCTAAGATCCATGGCTCCGAGCTCATGCCACGTCCGCGCCACGCAAGTAGCCGCGTCAACGACACGCAGAAAATGACCCTTGACCTCGGCGCCAATTGCTTTGGCGTCAAGACGTGTAAGCTCGGCGCCAATTGTCACGACACCGAGGTCATGGTCTATTTTTTGAAAGGATACTGTCAGGGGCGTATTTGTGAAAATCTTTCAAAAAAGGGCTGAAAAACAAAAAAAATCGGTTGTGCTGGGCCGCTTGATTAACACGCTGCAAATCCATCCATAAGTTTGGTTGCTCAAAAACAAAAGTGTCGCAGAACCGACCAATTTATAAGAGCACAAGTACAATGGCAGCCCATAAGCGGTTGCACTGTCATACTTGAGCCCATATAAACCCGGTAGTCCATCGAGTACCACGACGGGTCTCGATAAACGATCCACATACAACCAAGATCGTACATGATTCAACATACATGTCACATATTACAGAAAGTTCACAAATACAGTTCATTCATCAGAGTACGAGATAGAGTTATTACAAACCAAGTTCGATAGATAGTAGCGGAAGCAAATTAAAGTTCGAAAGTAGCATTTGCCAACATAGTTCAAATACAGTGCCAACACATGATCACCATCCACAAAAGCAGATAAGAGGGATTATTAAAGATGTCTGCCTAAGGCTCACTCCTCATCCACGGCGGGATAGAAGCAGTTCTTGCAATAGCCGTGATAGATGGTACCATCTACAACAATGAGAATAAAATCCTGAGTACGAGAAGGAACTCAGCTAGACTTACCCGTCATAAACTAGAAATAAATTGACTCCAACGATTATGCAAGGCTTTATAAATGGAGGTGGCTTGACAACATTTTGCATAAAAAGTGATTAATTCAGTTATACCATTATAGTTCAGTCATCAAGTTAATTATAGCTATTAATCTCTAGGTTAGCAACTATCATGTGCCAAACATATAGTATATTATTCGATAACATACAATAGTAACCATAGTAGGTGTAGTAATTCTATGTTTATCCGAACCATCACATTTCATAATATAATTACTATGATGTTAGGACTAGCCAAGTTTTTCACTAACCGGGAGAGACGGCGATTCGAATCGATTTCAACCAGCTGGGATTTTATTCCTAACACAAACCCGAGCAAACCAGATCAATAGTCACCTTTGGTACAACTCAGGTACACATTTTGCGGGTTTGACCAGCGCCGCACAATCAGGGACAACCAGCTGCCAGGATGATTAGGATTACCCTACCCTTGGACTCACGGCTGGCTCCCCGCACATCCTTACTACCATCCAGAGCACTTTTACAGAACGGGGCCCGGCCTGAGTTGAGCTACTCGGCTTGGCGGTCGAAACGAGTTATCCGGCCAGCTAAATGATATGCATGCGTTCAATCTTGTCAGAAGCGCCAACAACGGTACGGTCCTTAATCGGCACAGACAGAATCACATGATGAAAAGTCCTAATGGCTATAGGTGGGGTGAATAGCCTATGAAAAAATTCTATAACAACATTTAACAAACCGGTTAGACAATTATAAGGCGAAGCAAGTGTTGCGCTAGCCTACTAAAATTGT